CATCTACAAGTTTTCTGAATCCCACTGTTGTTAGCATTTATTTTTAAAGTTATTTCTGCAATGCTCTTGAGAAGTCAAAAACAGTAGTTGATAACTTTGATCTTGTAAACTAAGTTTGTGTTGACTTCTTCACCAGGCAAGGGACTTTCCTCATATGAAAACATAAACGTCTGATTTCTGCTAAAGTGTGTGATTTCTGTTAAAGCATAAACGCCCTTGTTTTGTTAAAACCTTCCAAAACCAAACAAGGGAAACAACAAAAAGACTATGCTGTGAATGTCAAACAAATGGGTCTTTACTTGGCATATTGCTTTAAACTCTAAACACTGATAGGAAAACAAATGTTTCACTTTCATTTAATTCACTTTTTGGGTCTTTTTGCTAACTCTTACCCCCCAGTATATGACTTTTTGAAAATTCTAGTATTTCGCACTCTGTTTTTAAAAATTTCTTCTTACTCTCAACTATTTAAATATCATAAAGTTCAGAGAGGAGGAAATCCTTCTAGGAATTTCTCTTTCTCCTATAAACATGCTTATATATTTGTTACTTCTCAACCAAAGATCTTCGTTTTTGTCTGGCCAAGGTTCCACTCCTTATTTAAAGCTCCCCAAAATACAAAAGTGGTATCATCGGGGAACAGAGGAAGTTAGGAAACATGAAATCCAAGTTTTAGTGGTTACTGAAGTCTATCCTGTCCTCTCTTTACCACTTAACCTCCCAGGGTGGGTGGGGAGAGAGGAAACGTGTTGGTTAAGTACAATCACTTCTGGCAGGATGTTTCCTCTTTAAAAGAAGTTAATAAAATTAGATATAATTAAAAATGAGTTGCAGAGGAAGTTTTGTGTGACAACAGCGTAAATATCATGTATGTATTAAAGAGTGCTTGGAAATACAGTAGTATGTTCTGATCTAGGAAATACATAAGAGGCTTTAGGCAAAAGCTGACCAATGATTCTTTGGTCTTGGTAAGTCTTTGTGCTTTCTTTCCATCATCTGACCCTGGTGAGCGCTCACTCTCTCCGTTACGCAAAGTCTTCCATTACTCTGACTCACCCAATCACATTCTGTAAATAAAACTCCACCCAAAGTGACAGATCAGATGTTAGCAAACAGTAATCTATACTTTTTAAAAAGTATGTTTCTTTTGAAATGACATCAAATATAATGCATATGCACACAAATGCACAAATCCTAGTTTTATAGCTTAGTGAAATGCAGAACGCTATCTAAACGAACTAATTCGTGCAAAGGTACAAATACACTTCATACATTTGACAAGAAGAGCTTCTTATCAAAAAATAAAAAGAATCTCTGCTTAGTAGCATTGCAACTTTGAGGCCAACGTGGTACGTGCATATAGTCAACCAAAGTAATAAAACACTCAATGCCTGACACGAGAGAAATGTTTCTAATCATTTTTGAACTGATATTCTGCTCTAGAGAAGCTTACTTGGTGGGACTACCACGAATGCGGAGTCAGGAAATTACTTGAACTTCACTTGATCCTGCGATTGGCCTTTGCATGAGTTGTGATCCATTTATTTTCTAGAAAAAAAATTTAGGATAACTAAGGAGCATATATTTTTCTTTTCAAAATGTATGGCTTCTGTTCATATATGTTCTTTATTAATATTACTTCTTTCTTCTTGTTAACAATTTCATTAAGATATCTTTGACATATAAAAATTATATAGATTTAAGTGTACATGATGTTTTGATATATGTATGCATTGTGAAAAAATCACCACAGTCAAGTTAAATAACTTAACCATCACCTTTAAATAGTTACAATTGTGAGTGTGTGTGTTGAGATTTAATTAAAGATATATCCTCTTAGAATATACAAGATAGTATTGTTGACTGTTGTCACCAGACTGTACACTAGATCTCCAGAATTCACTCATCTTGCATAACTGGAAGTTTGTACCCTTTAATCAACATGTCTTCATTTCTCTCTCACCCCCATCCATCCCAGAAATCACCATCCTACTCTTTGCTTCCATGAGTTTTACCATTTTATATCCCATATGTAAGTGAGTTCATGCAGTATTTGTCTTTGTGTGTCTGACTTATTTCACTTAGCATCATGTCTTCCAGGTTCATCCACATTGTTGCAAATAGCAGAATTTCATTTTTTAAGGCTGAATAATATTCCACACACACACATATATATATATATATATATATATATTATATATAAAATATATGTATATAATATATATATTTCATCTTCTCTTTATCTTTTCATCCCTTGACATACACTTAGGTTGTTTCTACACCTTGGCTATTGTGAAAAATGCTGCAATGCACATGGGAGTGCAGGTATCGCTTCATAATTTTTCTTAAGAAGGACGTAAAATAAGGTGTGTCCCAACCAGGAGTCTGTCTGCACATAAGCCTACTTTAGCGTCTTGGGTCAAAACTGAAATCAACTTTGCTTTGACATCTACCTCTAATTTCCTTGGCAACTGCTCTAACGTTGGCCCCTTAGTTGGGGCCCTCTTTCAGCATCCCTTTGCTCTCTGCTCTCCTAATTCAAATACATTTTGAGGCATTCCTTTCCTATGTGTATGTGTGTATGTGAAAGTGATAGATATAGATACATAGGTATATGGACACACAGGTGATATAGATATAGAGATGATAGATATTTCTCATGCTCAGAGTCCTAAACTACCTTATAAATCTGACAATATCGTTTATTCTTATTGGATAGAGCAGAGTTCCAAAACAGGGATTTCAGAAAGGATGCTGTATGACTAGCAGTGAGGCAGTTTTTCTCAGCAGGACCTCCTAGCATCTTTCAAATACTTTTCAATAGATGATGGCTTGCTCCAATACACACAATTGTACTTGCTGGTGCTGAAGTGAGCTGCCAATAATCTTCCCACATCCTATTAATTTTCTCCTGTGACAACCAGGACTTGAGGACTTGAAGTAACAAACATAAAGAGTCTTATGGGATTGGATGAACTTAAGCTAAGATTAGCCTCCACTGCCTGGTCCAATTACAAGGCTTTAGGTTCAAAAGGGACGCTCTGCCATACAGAATCCCGCTGAGTTTGGGGACCAACTCAGAGAACTTCCTCTTTCCCTTCAAAGGTTAACTGAGAGGATGGGATGCAAAGCACATGTCTTCTTGCTGCCAAAAGCGCTGCCCACGCTGCCTGAATGGATGTGTAAGATCCCATGAAATGTCTTGGCAAAGCTAGTTCAGGAGTGTTGGCCAAGGTGCTGAAGTGAGGGGAGGGAGGCAGGAACACCTTTGCCCATGAAACACCCCTCCCCCAACTCTTTTTAAGACAGGGAGCTTATTCATTTTGACAGGACACCCTAGGATTTCAAATCTGACATAGATTTGGGGAAAGCAACGTGTGCGCCAAAAGGTCTCCAGGATACATATTCGTTATAGAAATTCCAGCACTAGTAAAACCCACTTAAAAACAAAACAGCATTTAGAGCTGTTTATTCCAGTTGAATACTACCTATTTCTAGGCACTTCTTTGGCAGATCATTACTGTCACTTGGTAAAATGAATCAATGGCAGAATAAAATTATTGCAAAGCAAATGGCAGAGAATGACAAAACCACAATCGTGAACGATCATTCAAAAGTGAAAATTATCTTCTGTGCATGCCTAGAGATTTTCTTATTATCTCTACTTTTACTTGAATTGGCCCTCTTTTCCAAATGCTCTTTATGGCAGTTTATCCTTCCTGCCCTGAAATTGTGCATGCTGACATCAGAACCCCAGGCGCTGGGTTGGCTAACAGTTGAATCACCTCTGATTAGCTGCAGACTGCAGCCAGTGGCAAGTGAAAGAGAAGTCACCCTAGTCACCAACGCCTTTCACACTGCAATCACCCCCACCCTCTTGGGCATCTGATGCCTCTTCCCTCTGCCAGGCAATTAACTTCCGTTGTGTTCAACTTTCTGACCTCTGGCTTTAGAGAAAAGTCTTGGCTTTGGCCAGTGGCTCTGAGCAGCTCTTGGCTCCCTGCTGATGAGTGACTGGCACGAATAACACTTTCTTTGACACTCTTAAAAGAAGCTGTTTAATTCCTAATGATATTTCCTGGCAAAAAAGGAAAATGAAACCCACAACCTGGGATTCCGGTCCGGCAAAGGCAGACCAAGAGGACAGCGAGGCTGCTGAGCCCAACACTTGCTGTAAGGCTGTCTCCACGCGCTTCCCTTTCCCATCGGAGTTGCTTTCCTTTCTCCTGACACTTCCAGCCCGGAGTGTGACACCTACTGGAATTCTTGAACATCTGGCGAGGCATGGATATGATTTGGGCATCTGAGGAGAACGGCTGGCGGCTGCCCCAGGATTTCCCGCGGAAATCACCCAGCACTTAGCAGGCATTTCAATAAGGAAGTAACCAGTAAAGCGATCTTGGCGGGAGAACCCCGCGAAGATCTTAGAAAAATTCCAGAAACCACTGGATACTTAATGACCCACGTCTCCCCCAGCCCTTTTTAGAACAGTATAAAGTGGTTTGTGTTCCCCCCCCCCCACCGCGGAGGGAGGGTGGTGTGAAGTACATTTATTTTCGCGATAACGTTAACATGGGCTTCCAGCTTTGGCAACCGGCGAGGACCTCGGATCACATCGTCCCCTCGCTGCGCACTAGTCTCCGGGGTGAGCAGGACGCGCAGACCTGGGGACCGACGTGATCCGCTCTGCAGACTCCCCCACCCCTCAGGTCCCTGCCACCCCGCAATCTAGTGGCAATGTGACTCGGGACGCATTCCAGCCACCTCCCCATCGCCCCCAACCCAGACTACATCCTCTCCCACGCTGGGCTTCTGCTGCCCGCGTAGCTGCTCCTCCGAGTGTCCCAGGTCCCCACACGCGCCCCGTTCCTCGCGCGGAGGGAGCGCAGGAGGGAGCGCGGGGGAAGGAGAGTTGGGCGCAGCAGGGGCAGGGGCACCCTGGATGCCCAGGGGGGCCGCCGGGGGCGCGCGGGGAGCCGAGCAGGACGCGCCACACTCACCCGCTGCTGCTGCCGGCTGCTGACGGCCACCGCGGCAGCCGACGCGGCGCTGTGCCGGAGCTCGGCCGCCTGCCCGGGTCTCAGCAGGCTGCGCGTGAACCTGCGGGTCCGCTCTCCGGCCATTGCCCGCCGCGCCGGTCTCGCCGCTGGCCCGGAGCGCGCGTCTCGCCGGCCTTCCCGGCGCCGACCTTCTCTCCCCGCCGCGGTTCAGGAAGCGGAACTCGGCGCCTTTCCCCCCCTCTTCCTCGCTCTGCTCGCAAGAGGCGGGTTTTGCTCTCCGGCAACCCCACTCCTCCACCCACTTCTCTCCGCAAAAGCTTCGCGACGACTTTCCCAACTCGGCGAGCGGCCCGGGCACGGTGGCGGCGCCTGGAGCGGGGGCGCGGGACACGCGTGAGGCGGCTCCCGCCCGCGCCACCACCGCGCTCAGCTGGACGGCCGGGCTGTCCCCGCCGCCCCTGGGACGGCAGACAGCGGGGGAGGGCGCGGGGCGGCCAGCGCGGGCTCCGGGGTGGGGGGGCCTGCCCACAGCCCTGGTCCCCATTTGGAGGTTCCTGACAAGGCGGGTGCTCTGACCGCATTTGCTGATTCGGCCCCTACCTTCCTGGGCTGGCGAGTGGGCGCGGGCCCAGCTCAGTTCGCCCTTCCACCCTGAGGAAGGGGGTCAGCGGCTGATTCAGGGTCTGGCGGCTGGGATCTGCGTGGCATCACCCCAGCCAGCCTTTAGCAGGCTCCTTTGCCCAAAGCCCTCACTCAGGACCCTGTGACAAGCTTCCAAAGTCATACATGTCTTCAACCAGTCTTCATTAAATGCCTACAGTGTGCCAGTCCACATTGTTCTGGAAACTGGGGATCTGGAGGGGAACTTGCCAGCCCTCTCCTTCGTGCTGTGTGACGCTGATATGTTTTGGGGGTTGGGGATGCAAGCGGGACAAGTAACCCAGTTAACACATAAATGAATACAAGTACGTGAACAAGGGCGTTTAGATACTAGAAGCCAGAAACCAATCAAGGCAATGTTACGGAAGAGGCTGGAGGGCTGTGATGTTAGACAGGACGAGGAGGCTAGAACTGACCGGTGGGGTCACTACGTCATGTGGGTCAGGTATAGGGGTGGACTAATATTGGTGTTGTTTTTCTGCTCCCACTTTGCCACACGTCCATCTGGCCTGCAGGTTGTCTGCAGTTGTGTAATTAAGGTCTTCGAAGAATTCTCATCCCGAGTCACACCCAGGGTGGGGCTGGGTGGATAGAAGAGCAGCCCTGGTTCCTGGGCTCCCAGCCTGGAGAGATTCTGGATGCTTACTCCAAGTATTTTAGGTTTTTTTTCAAACAGCTTTTTGTAGATCCAGGACCCTGACATTTTCCCAAAGCAATAGAGTTTTAACACAAGGTCACACTTGGGTATAAAGAATTCGTAAGCAGCTAATGAATGTACTTGAATCAGCTCTCTGCTATCAGTTAGCAGAGATACCGCTTGAGCATCATCATTTCAGAACATTCCAGAAATCATATGGGGCAGAGGTTCTGGAAGATTTGAGAAGTGTGATCTGAAACATCAGTTGGTTCTACCATACCCTTCATAACAAAGTACTGTGTTTTGCATTGTGTGCTTTTCACGGTCATGCACAAAATAGTACAATGTCACCTATAAGGGTAAGCAAAGTATGTGGTTGCCTCTGCAGTGTCATTTAAAAGTCTCTGTGGAAATAACTCCCTCTAGCCTCACTCTTCTCTAACAAGTGTGTCCTGTAAATGTACGTTCAACTGAGAGAGATAACATGTTAAGAACTTTTGAATGAATTTGAGCTTCCCAAAAGGAGGTGTCTAGCTTTTGTTCCTGGTTTCAGAACACCACCTGGCACATAGTAGGTGCTCAAGAAATTCTGTTTTGTGGATGACTTCCCTGAGGGTTTAGATGGGCTGGTGCAGTCAGAGGTCTCAGAGTGCCTGAGGCAGGGTCAGACAGAAAGAAGAAGAGAAAGGTGTGATGGAAGGGAAGGCTGTAGTCATCAGAAATGCTGCTGTGTCCTAGGTGTGACAACTCGCTGAGCTAACCCAAAACACTGAGTAATCCACACAATACATTCTTCAACTGTATCAAGTAACAGAAACTCACTCGTACTTCTTTTATTACTACAAATTTTACTTTTTCCAGATCTAGGGTGTCTCCAGAGTGCTGGTGTGAGAGCATTTGATGAACAAATGCCTGTTTGCCCTATCCATACCCTACATGATGGTAGTTCCATGAGTCACAAAGAGAAGGAGGGTGGATGTAGGTGACCTTTACACCCAGGGCATTTCAGTGATACCACTCCCTGGGAGTCTCCTCTGCCCTTGACCATCATGTGGTTTTCAGTTAAGCCCCCTTCTGGGTGCCAAGGACAGAGAGCTGAGTGTGGCCCCCACACAACTCCCTCCCGCACTGCAGCGTAGACACACATTCTTTGCTGCAGAAGTGTGACTTCAAGTCTGCTAGTTTGACACTATCTAACTCTCAGCTGGTCACCGGTCTCTCAGTTCTCTGGAGAGACTTAGCTGAGATACTTTGTAAATGCAAATCTGTGAAAATACCATGACCACCCTGATATGAATCGGGTACTTCAGGCGATTCTGATGTGTCATTGTAGGTTCATCAGTTGTAACAAATGTATCACTCTGGCAGGGGATGCTAATAATGGGGGAGGCTATGCATGCGTGGGAGCAGAGGGAAATTTCTGTGTTTTTCTCATTATTTTGTAATGAATTTAAAACTGCCCCCCCCATAAAGTCTTAAAAAAAACACCAAAGAAGTCAATGTAACATGACAATAAAAAAACAAATTGCACAACGGAAGAATGGGTAAAGGATGTGAATGTGCATTTCTCCAAAAAAAATATAAAAATGGTCAACGCTCAGCATCATTATTCATTAACTGAGTCAATGATCAACAGGAGATCAAAGTCACAATGAGATACCACATCTGCAAGGATGGTCATAACGAAAAACATGGGAAATATGTGTTGGGGAGATGTGGAGAAATTGGAAGTCTTGTACATGTGCGGTGGGAAAACAGTTTGGCAGTTGCTCAAAATGTTAAGGACTTACCACATGACCCAGCAACCCTACTTTTAGAGAAATGAAAACATATGTTCACATAAAAGTTGACAAGAATGTTTACAATAACTTTATTCATAATAGCTGAGAAGCGGAAACAACACAAATATTCATGAATTGACAAATGGATTAAAAAAAGGGATATATCCACACAATGGGATTGTATTCAGAATTAAAACAAAACAAAACAAGTATTGATATGTGCAGCAACATGGATCAACCTTGAAAACATTTTGCTATGCGAAAGAAGCCAGTCACAAAAGACTGTATATTTACCACATCATCTTTATCCAATCATCTGTTAAAGGGCACTTTGGTTGTTTCCAAGTCTTGGCTACCATAAATAAAGCTGCAAGGAACATCAGAGTACATATATTTTTACAGATAAATGTTTTCAGATTTTTGGGGTAGATACCCAAGAGAGGGATTGCTGGGTCATATGGTAATTCTATTCTTAATGTTTTTGAGGAACCTCCACACTGCCTTTCGTAGCAGCTGCACCAATCTGCATTCCCACCAACATAATGGAATACTACTCTGTCATAAGAAAAGATAAAATAGTGCCATTTGCAACAAAATGGATGGATCTTGATATTATTATGCTAAGTGAAATAAATCACACAGAAAAAGTCAAGAACCATATGATTTCACTGATATGTGAGATATCAAACTGAAAGCAGCAAAAGAACAAGACACAAAAAAGAAACAAAAACTCATAGACACAGACAATAGTTTAGTGGTTGCCAGCGAGCAAGAGGGGAGGGGAGTGGTAGAAGAGAGTAAAATGGATCAAATACATGGTGATGGAAGGAGAACTGACTGGGTGGTGAACACACAATGTGATACATAGACAATGTATTACAGAATTGTACACCTGAAATCTATGTAACTTTGCTAACCATTGTCACCCAAATAAATCTTAATTTAAAAAATAACAACAACAAAAGATGGCATATTTATAACACCTTTTCTGTGAAACATCCAGAGTAGGCTAATCTAGAAACAGAAAATAGATTAGTGGTTGCCTAGGGCTGGAGCATGTTAGGAGACAATGAAGAGTAAAGGGTTTCTTTTCAGAATGATGAAAATTTTCTAAAGTAAACTGTGGTCGAGGTTACACAAGAAACAGATTACAGTAGTTGCTTCTGGAATGGGGAACTTGACAGCTAGGGACAAGAGTTAACATAACATAATATAATATAATATAATATAATATAATATAATATAATATAATATAATATAATAATATAATATAATATAATGTAATATAATGTGAACATATTTTTATTATACATTGTGTGCTAATTGAATTTTGTATCACATGTATATATAATATCTGTTCACAAACAAATAAATAATGTACCTTTTCATTTTAAGAGATACCATCACAGAAACATATCCACCCTGGTTTTCATTTCTCAGAGCACAGCTAGTTAATAAAAGAACTGAATCTTCAATAGTGTCTAATACTGTAGAACAGTGGTTAAAAGCACATGCAAAAGAGTCCAACTGCCTGAGTTCAAATCCCAATTTTACTTATTCTTTCGGCAAGTTACTTGACCTCTTTAAGCCTTGGTTTTCTTATCTGAAAAATAGAGGTAACAATAGGTCATTATGTGGAGGGGCTACTGAGAGCCTTATTTCTTAAAAAGGACCCAGCACATAGACTTCAGTAAATATTGTTATTACTATATTTGTAGAGACTTACAAATTTTGAAAATATTTCATGTCCTTTAATACATTTGTTTCTCTCTTTGCAATGAGCAGGATGGGTAGACTCTGGGCATCACAGGCATTCTAAAGACATCTTTTTAACCCATATCAGTGACTCTGGAATTTCATGAACAATAATAATATAATCCATTAATTATAATATTAATCCATTATTAAGCAATAATATCTAATATCATAGAGCACCACAGTGTAGAATGTAGTTTCACAATATATTAGTGTAATTTTAATATAGCATAAAGTGGGGTTGTTCAGCCCACTTATTCTATGCATCAATGTCTATAAGTCTAGATGAATCATTAAAGAAACTCCCAAAATCCACAGAACAGGCATTTTAGGAATCAGTGGTATTAAATTTTGCTCCACGACCTCAATTTCAAGATTTACTGTTCTGTATTTTCTAGTATTTAGAGTGCATAGCCTGAAATCAAGTTTTGTCGAGTTCTAATTCCCCTCTTTTTCTGACTTGGCATGG